AATTTACTGTCTTGGCGTGATAGTGGCCACCTAGATACGCCATGAATTTCATAACGAAGTCCATGGGTACCTGAAGACGTGCGATAGCATTATAATATCTGAGGATTTTCTTCCCAGATTTTTCGAATTCTCCTGGCCACCAGTTCTCCATTCTGCCATCCTTCTCCGAAAACTCAGCCCTGAGATCGGGATCGAGAAAAACGTAACTTTCCAATTTGACTAGAACAAGAAATCAATAATTGATAGTAAGAACACACAAAAGTCGCATTTAAATTCACAGAAATTTATAAAAATTCACATTGACAGAGCACTGACTTTGCACTTCGATTTCGTTAGATGTACTAAAGAAGCGAGGCTACAAGACAACATGAGTTAGTCGCCATATGCATCCCCACTCCTCGTCTATCCTTCTCAAGCGTCTGAGCATTCAATAGCGCTCTCTCTCTCCCTCTGTGTCTGGCGTCTGCCGCGTAAACTCTAGTATTTTCATCTGGTGGATGGTGAATAATGAAGCATTGACGAAGATTTTACGTTGAGAAAATTTTCTTTATTCAATTAGTGAGCAAGGCATGGATTTTGTAACAATATAATATTACATGGCTTCGTGGGTAAAAATTCTCATAATAAAAATGTTCTGTTAACTTTTCGAATTAGATGTTTTAAAATGAAATAATATCGTGTAAGTAATAATCCTTTCTTGATGTCACATAATCAGGTGGCAGATGGTATTTCTTTTTAATAATTCTCCACCAAAGATGACAACTGAAACACATGAAAGAAATGAGAAAATTTGATAATTAATTCAGTCAATTGATATGCATTTAATTTTTTCATTCTCAATCTCCTTCTGGATCGATTTTAATGTCGGTTGATAATCGCTTCGGATGTTTGAAAGATGCCATTGGACGAAAGTCAACATGCCCATGGGGGTACAAAATCAGCTTGGCTCGAATATGTGCCATGATGCCGAAAGTTCCTCCGGCTTTATATTGAGGATTAATGATTTCTCTGAGCTTCTTCAACATAGCGCTTTCTGATATCACACCTTCCCATCCTTCGAGTATGGAAATTACGGATAGGTTCTACATTATCATCTGAATCATCATCAGCTGGTAAGCAGACAGCTTTCGCCACTCTAATGAATGGCTCTATACCTTCAGCTGAATCATGTAATGCAATCTCAACATTCACAAGTGTTGTTGTTGATGCTACCTCTGGGATGATGAATAGTACTGGATTGTCGAGAGAGGTAGTGGGTGGATCAATCTCCATTGAGTTTACCGATGAGTTTAGAGGGCCACTAAAGCCTTTCTCCTCAGGTATTGGCCTCTCTAGAGACTCGGGATCTGGACTTGCTGGAGAGTCTACAATTACTTTCTACTCAGGTGCTGGACTCTCTGGAGGCTCGCGGTCTGGGCTTGCTGGAGAGTGTACAATTCCCTTCTCCACAGGTGTTAGACTCTCTGCAGATTCGGGGTCTAGGCTTGCTGGAGAGTCTACAATCTTGTTCACCACACGTGCTGCAGATTCTGGTTCTGAACTTTCTACCTCTGAATTCTCTGGTGAATCATCCGCGTTTTCACTGAGATCAGGTGAGATGATGTCAGAATCTAGTGGGGTAGGGGCATCCCAAGCATCATTATCCCCACCAGCGTCAGAACTTCCAATCTCTGACGCTTCATCTGACGAGCTGATCGACTCAATTACATCCAAATGTAAATCTCGTTTCATCTTCTCTGAAATTTCCAACTTCCGAATAAATTAACGAATTGTGATGACTTCACAACTTGAAATCCTATTACTTATCTGTTAATGCCGTTGGTCGGCATTAATAGACATCACAAAGGCAGAGCACTTTAACACTCACGTCACAGCATCAAAATGAGCTCTGGAAAGAAGATACTTTATAAGCTATAAGGATCTCCGTTACCCAGCAAGTGATGTCCCCTTCACCTTCCAATCACAATGTTCCAGCATGTAGCTGGAGAACTTGCAATCTATACAAGTGTCAGCACCAGTGCATCTCAATGAATATTGTATTACTATTAAGAATGCGTGACTGGGCAGGCAATGTTCAATTGAATGAAAACGTGTTTACTGAGAAATATAAGGGAAAAAAAAATTTGTAAAATTTTTAACGGTTTCTGCTGTTTCCTGGCATCGAGACACTATAAAGTCAGATAGGTATTGTTTGATATTATGAAAACGTGAGTGACTTGGCATCCCCCCATTCCCTCCAACATTCTGGAGATGTTTATACCATCCACATACAAGCTATTCGGTGGTACTTGCTCGCTAGACGATTGAGAGATATCCACAGTGACTCGTGTCATATGGCAATTGTCATTGATGCTGAGGGGTTCAAAAATTTTGGAAACGAGTTTGATGTGAAAGAATTTGCGATTTCCGTGCTAGAACTTGATGGTGATGGAAAGTTCACGCATGAGGCAGCTTTATTCGATCCACCTACAAATGGGATGACTTGCTTCCCAAGTACACAGAAGTGACCCAGTGGTTGTCACGTTATTATCATGTACTGCTTTGGGACACTCCTAGAAATATTAAATATAAGGCATTTAGTGATTACGCAAATAAAATTATGAACAATTTTTCGCACTGTACCTTACATGTGGGGATATACGTTAGAGGGATAAAACTCTCCACGTATGCCCACAAGATTTAGAAAAAGAGAGAGAGATTGGGTGAGTTTGGGAAGGAGCCTGTGGGGAAAATCGCGGGTTCAAAATAATAATTTGACGTTCCAATTAGAGGGAGCAGGAGCTTAGGGATACGTTTACGTTTTTCGATGGAAGGTCGAGGAGGGTAAGTGCAACCATTACTCGCTTCGAATCGCCAGGTTGCTTACGGGTTAGTGATAAATAAATTTTAATAATTTTAGGATTAGTAGGAGATACTAACTTTTAAATGTATGATTAAAAAGGTTAGAAAAGTTTTAGCACTCAGGCTCCCGGGAATACGCGCTTAAACAGACCCTGCATGCCCACAAAAATTAAGAATCCGATGAGGAAATTAGGGAATTTAATTTAGAATTTAAATTTGAATCGGCGCTGGAGGCACCACGCCTCAAGGCGGAACTAACGCCAGCCAATCAGAGAGCGTCTGATTTTTGGCTGTACGTAACCCACCTGTTATACTGACCTCGTCAAGGCAGTTATACGTTAACAGTGACGAGAAGTAAACACGTGTTGTGAAGCGAAGCACAAAGGGATTACGTGAGAAAAAGCACAAGGATTATGGTCAGGAAGACCACGAGGACGGGAAGGAAACCCCCAAAGGTAAGTTGGGAATTAGTTAACCGGTTTTGAGTGAATTTTTCCCCCTTTTGTCACGAATAACTCCACGACATGTCGTGGCATTATCCGAGCCGGCCGCCCGGCTTCGGTTGACTGTTCCATCCATTTTTGGATGGCTTTCGGAGGGTTTTACCCTTCGCAGTTGAATCCTAAAAATACTAGGGACTCCCCTGATTATGTTAGTGGGTATTCTCGAGGGAATTTTCCCAGTTTAGGGTGGTTTAGGGGTAACAATAGGGACCCCGGTTTTGGGGGAATTTCCCCATCCATTTTAAGGGGTTTTCGGGGGAGTTTCTTCCTCGCTAATGATTCCCCAAAATACTAGGGGCTTCCCTGGTCACGCCAGTGAGTATTTTTTCCAAGAATTTCCTATTTTTTACGGTTCAGGCGTGATTCTGGGGTGAAAGGATTTTCCATGGCCAACGGTGGTCAGTGGTTTTCCCTCTCTCTCGCTCTCTTCAGTTTCGAGAAGAGTGGGTTCGAGTCCGCGGCGTTAACGTCTTTTTTTTGTTTTTCTTTTTTTATTATTCCCTCCTCCTTCCGAGTTATCGGATATTCCTCGGATTATCACCGATCGATAATCCTCGAGGCTGAATTCATCATTTGGGTATTGTTTATACCATTTCGTTGGTATTTTTGTATCATATTATTCGGCCTTCGGCATCCGATGTTCCCGTTTTCCGGTGAGTTTGATTTACTCTTTTTCTCCGGGTGTCTCCCGGACAAATTCCGGGAAATCATCGATTTCCCAGCCGATTAGCGTTAGGAATAAGACACTCCTCGGATTATCGCCGATCGATAATCCTAGTAGGCGAATTGAAATGGTAACGATGAGGGGCTACGCATAATAATATTTGACGTTTGTTTTACTTGAAGTGGATAATTGGCTTTTCTAGTCCCATTTTTTTGGAATCCACCCAGAGTCTGAATCGAATAAATTACATTTATGGAGGCTTTAGTTATCTTTTCATCCATTTAATTGACCTCTTAGTTGGACTACCGATTAGGCAGGTCCAAAACACCCCGTTTCCCCCCAAGATCCGCCCCTCTCTCCATGACCAGCACTGAGCGGACCAGGACCGTTACCTTTCCCCGAAAGCCTGGTTTTCCTGTTCGTCCCCTTCTGGTTTTCTGTTTTTGAGTTTTAGTGGATTTTAGAGAAATTTTGAGTAAGGTAGAGAGCCCCGAATCTCGAGATTAATAATTTTAAGTTATGGCTGTTTCCGGTTTGGTAATTCCGGCCCATAAAAATTACGTGGCGCCCATTTAGTTAGTTTTAGCAGGTTTGATTAGGCTTTGGGGAAGTAGGGCGAAGGTAGCTGGTATTTTCAACCCCCATCCGAAAATGTCACGTTACTACACATTAACGTCCAAGGCCTAGAGAAGAAGAACCGGCTACAGCAAATTCTCAAGACTGTACTACCAATTGAGGATTTAAATGAATTTGTCAACCCTGATATGGAGAAATCTCAGGAAAAATATTGTAAAACTCAACATTTGAATGCACTGACAAACCAGGAAATTGCATTAGTATCGATGCATTTCATCAAACCATTGCAAAGATGGCTCCTTTCTACTGCCTCTGTCGGGCTCGCTTTTACGAGTCCCGGTGCAGAGTGGAGGAGTGACAACCCTCGTGGCCTTGGTCTCCTCGTCATCAGAATCAGACTCACTGGAGGATGAATCTTATTTCACTGGTGCCTTCTTGGGTGATGCTTGCTTTTTGGGGGGCTCCTCATCAGAGGAGTCGTCCCTGGAGTCCTCACTCTCCTCTTCAACTGGTGCTTTATCTGGAGCCTTGGATGCGGCCTTGGGTGTGACCTTGGGTGTAGCTTTGGCTGGAGCTGCTTTCTTAGTAGGTGGCTCATCATCAGAATCACTACTGTCACTGCTCTCCGCCTTTTTCACAGGTACATTCTTCCCTGGAGTCTTCCCTAGAGTCGTTACTGGCGTCTTCGCAGGTACCTTCGATGACTTCTCATCCTCAGAGGAGTCATCATCGTCTGACGATGACTCTTTCTTCACTGGAGTCTTGGCCTTCCCTGCGACTGCCTTCGGAGCATTTTCAACCACTACCTTCTCCTCCGATGAACTGTCATCCGAAGATTCTTCCCCTTCTTTCCTCACCTGTGGCTTCACCTGGGTCTTCACCTGGGTCTTCACCTGGACCTTGACTGGAGTTTTGGCAACTGCTTTTGCCTTTGATTCCTCTTCATCGGAATCTGAATCACTTGAGGTGTCTCTCTTCTTTGCTGACACTTTGTGCAGCTGTTGGTTTAGCTGGTGACGAATTCGTTGGCTTGAGATCGTCCTCTTCGGAGGAGTCCTGCGGGGTCGGTTTAGCTGCTGGTTTTGCTGCTTGTTTTGCTGCTTGTTTCACTGCTGCTTTCACTGGCTTTGACTCCTCTTCCTCTGAAGAACTGTCTGATGAAGAGTCTGCCTTTTTTACTGGAGCCTTTATTAAAAATTTCGCTGCTGCCTTTGGAGGCACTTTTTTCTCCTCTTCAGAGTCCGACGAGTCTGAAGACCAGGATGCCGTCTTCTTCTGGGCTTTTCCTGTTGCATTCACCTGGGGCTGAACCTTCTCCGGGGCCTCGTCCTCGTTGGATGAACTCGAATCCAAATCGTTCGATTTTTATGGCTTTATCACCAGCTTCTTCGGGGAGCTCTTCTGGTAGTGCTTTATCACCTCCAGGATAGACTGGAGAACCCTTCGGCAGCGCCGGCTGAAATTTTGGAGAATTTTTTTAGCGCGTAATTTAATTAATTGACGGCTAAGACCTGGGTCTCTTAAGATGATTCCTAGGAAATTACAACTAAAAGCTGGGGAAGATGTATTGATAAATATCAGAATATTTTTAATAATCTGGGAATTGACGTTACACTGTGTGATCGCAGAATGGCACACCGGTACGTGAATTGCAGTGTGGACCATGAGGATTCACTCTTCGAGCACCGGTGCATCAAGTTCAAAATTCAAAGCATTGCTGCGATAGCGCAGGGTTTCACGTGAAGAAATCCCTAGACCACCCAGTGGAGCTCTTCTGAGAGGGAAGTGGAGGCAAGACAAGCCATCAACACGGAAAGGTGAGTCCTTCCATGGGGCATTCCCGATCAGACCATGCAGGGTAGAAAAGAAGGTTAAATGGTGTAACCGGGAACTTGGGAGACTGAAAGACCTGGCTAGACAACTCTGGAACCGAGCGTACCTCACCAAAGGCAATGAGGACTGGACTCAGTACAGGAAGGTACTGAGGAAGTTTAAAAATCTCATCAAATAATCGATAGAGTCAGCATCTAGGACTTTCTGCGAGGAGCTGGAGACACTGTCACAGGTAGCCGGGCTTCGCCGGGTCTTCTCTCACGGACCAACACAAGGCTGGGGTCTAATCATGCTATCTGATGGTGCTGCTATCACCCAGCTAGAGGACATACTGGAGCACCTGATTTAGGTGGACTTCCTCGACTCAGTTATACAGGGAGAGCGAATGTTCTCTGGATTGGACTGGGTACGGCCAGGTGAGGACCGGTCAAGCTGGGGCGCGGCCTCGAAAATTGTGACGTTGTACATGCTGAAGTGGGCGGTGGACTCGTTCGAAATATATGAGAGTCCTGATCCTGATAGTGTATACCCGGCTTTTCTGCGGAAAGCTGGCCCGATGCTTCTGCATAGACTGCTACCAACATTAAGGTCATGTGCCGAGAAGCTAGCCAGAGATCAGGATTATGTTTATTCCTAAACCGGGTAAATGTAGCTATGACACCGCCAAAGCCTATCGGCCTAACAGCCTGAGCTCTTTCCTACTGCAGACACTGAAGAGACTCGTTGACAGGCATATGAAAGAGGGAGTGCTAAAAATGGATCCTATTAGCGCTCCGTAGTATGCATACCAGGCGGGCAGATCAACTGAGAGTGCACTGCACAGCCTGATTGCGAAAATAGAAAAAGCAAAGGAAAAAAAAGAGGATACCCTCGCTGTCTTAATTGACATATAGGGGCCTTTTGACAACACTTCCTTTGGAATCATGGAGAAGGTGGCGGCATCTTTTGGGATGGAGAAATCCATCATCAGATGGATTGCTGCCATGCTCCGAACTAGGTTGGTCAACTCCTCTCTCGGGGACAATGTTGCGGACACTGGGTCACTAGGTAGGCCAAAATATAAGAGAAAAGGTGAACCTTTCAGGTAACTTGACCGTAACTAGTAGCGACAGGTAGTGTCCGGAGGAGGAAAGATCTTATAAACCTCACTCAATATGGGGGGCCTATTGCGTGGGACTAAGCACTGAACTGCACAATGGTTACTAAGTGAGGAATTAGCACACAAAGAGAAAGATACCCTTGAGTTCCCTTTAAATAGAATTTAAAATTTATTACACTTCACTTGAAAATACAGAATATTAGAAAGTCCAAGATA